ATAGTACAGTGTGTGTATACTCCACGTTTTCTTTACCTATTGATGGATAATCAGTGGACACTTGGGCTCTTTCTACTTTTTGGCTATTGTGAACAATGCTGCCGTGGACATTTGTGTACCAACATCTGTTTGAATCCCTGATTTCAGTTCTTTGGGGTATATACCCAGAAGAGGAATCGCTGGGTCATGTGATAATTTTTGTTTTTCACAGTGGTTTTTAACATTACCAATGCACAAGGGTTCCAATTTCTCTACATCCTCATCAGCACTTGTTATTTCCTTTTTATTATTATTTTTATAATAGTCTTCCTAATGGGTGTGAAGTGGTTTTGATTTGCATTTTCCTAATAATTAGTGATGTTGAGCATCTTTTCATGTGGTTATTAGCCATCTGTATATCTTCTTTGCAGAAATGTCTATTTAAGTCCTTTGCCCATTTTTTTTTTTTTTTTTTCGGTACGCGGGCCTCTCACTGTCGCGGCCTCTCCCGTTGCGGAGCACAGGCTCCGGACGTGCAGGCTCAGCGGCCACGGCCTACGGGCCCAGCTGCTCCACGGCACGTGGGATCTTCCCGGACCGGGGCGCGAACCCGTGTCCCCTGCATCGGCAGGCCGACTCTCAACCAGTGCACCACCAGGGAGGCCCCTTTTGCCCATTTTTTAACTGGGTTGTTTTTGTTGAGTTGTAGTTTTTAAAATATATTCAGAATATTAATCCCTTATCAGATTTATGATTTTCAAATGTTTTCTCCCATTCCATGGGTTGCCTTTTTATTCTGTGGACAGTGTCCTTTGATGCAAAAATTTTAATTCTGATGAAGTTCAATTTATTTATTTTTTCCTTTTGTTGTCTGTACTTTTGTTGTCATGTCCAAGAAATCATTGCCAAGTCCAATGTCATGAAAATTATCCCCTATATTTTCTTCTAAGAGTTTCATAGTTTTAGCTTTTATGATTAGGTCTTTGACCCACTTTGAGTTAATTTTTGTATATGGTGTAAGGTAAGGGTCCAACTTCAACTTTTTGTATGTGGATGTCCAACTTTCCCAACACCAACTGTTGAAAAGACTGTCTTTCCCCCATTGAATAGTCTTGTTATCCTTGTTGAAAAATCATTTGACCATAATTGTGAGAGTTTATTTCTGAGTTCTCTATCTTATTCCATTGGTCTGTATGTCTGGCTTTACGTCAGTATCATATTGTTTTTTAAAAGTTATTTTTATCATTTTTGTTTGTTTGTTTGTTTGTTTTTTGTGGTACGCGGGCCTCTCACTGTTGTGGCCTGTCCCGTTGCGGAGCACAGGCTCTGGATGCACCGGCTTAGCGGCCATGGCTCACGGGCCCAGCCACTCCGCGGCATGTGGGATCTTCCCGGACCGGGGCACGAACCCGTGTCCCCTGCATCGGCAGGCAGACTCTCAACCACTGCACCACCAGGGAAGCCCTATTTTTATCATTTTTGATTTAGAGATGATTTAGAGATGCTTTAAGTTCACAGCAAAATAGAGCAGAAGGAACAGAGATTTTTTTCCCTTATAATCACTACCCTCACGTATGCACTATCAAAAAAACAGTACACTAAAATGGTACATTTGTTAAAATCAATGAACCTACATTGCAGATTCTTATCACCCAAAGTTCATAGTTCAATAGTGTTCACTTTTGGTGGTGTACCTTCTACGGGTTTAGACAAATGTATAATAACATGTATTCACCATTATGGTATCATATAGAGTAGTTTCACTCCCCTAAAAATCGCCTGTGCTTTACCTATTTATTCCTCCCTCTCTCCTAACCCCTGGCAACCACTGATCCTTGTACTGTCTCTGTAGTTTTGCCTTTTCCAGAATGTCATATAATTGGAATCATACAGTATGTAGCCTTTTCAGATGGGCTTCTTTCACTTAATAATACACATTTAAGATTTCTCCATGTCTTTTCGTGGCTTGATCATTTCTTTTTAGTGCTGAATAAAATTGCATTGTCTGGCTGTTCCACAGTTTATTTATTCATTCACTTACTGAAGGACATCTTGGTTGCCTCCAAGTCTTGGCAGTTATGGATAAAGCTGCTATAAACATTTGCGTGGAGGATTTTTTGTGGACATACGTTTTTAACTAATTTGAGTAAATGCCAAGGAGCACAATTGCTGTATCACATGGTAAGAGTATGTTTAGTTCTGGAAGAAACTGCCAAACTGTCTTCCAAAGTGGCTGCACCGTTTTGCATTCCCACCAGCAAGGACGAGAGTTCCTGTTGCTCCACATCCTCTTCAGCGCTTGGTGTTGTTAGTGTTTTGGATTTTGGCCATTCTGAGGTGTGTAGTGGTATCTCATTGTTATCTTATGCACTGTTTTGATTACTGTAGCTTTGTTATAAGTTTTGGCATCAGGAAGTGTGACATTTCCAAGATTGTTTTGGCTATTTGGGATCCCTTGATATTCCATATGAATTTTAGGATGGATTTTTCTATTTCTGCAAGAAAAAAAAAACTGGTCACTGGAATTTTGGTAGGGATTGCGTTGACTCTATATATCACTTTGAGTAGTGTTGACATCTTAATAATATGAAATCCAATCCTTGAACATGAGATATCTTTCCATTTATGTGTGTCTTTCATTTCTTTTGGCATCATTTTGTAATTTTCAGTGTACAGGTCTTTGCCTCCTTGGTTAATTCCTAAGTATTTTATTCTTTTTGATGCTATTGTAAATTGAATTGTTTTCTTAATTTCCTTTTTGGACTGTTCATGGTCAATATATAGAAAAATAACTGATTTTTTTGTATTGATTTTGTATCCAGCAATTTTGCTGAATTCATTTATTATTTCTAACAGTTTGTGTGTGTGTGTGTGTGTGAGCTTTAGGATTTTCTATATATAAGATCATGTCATCTGCAAACATAATTTTACTTCTTCCTTTCCAATTTGGATGCTTCTTACTTCTTTTTCTTGCCTATTGCTCTGGCTAGAACTTCCAATACTGTGTTGCACAGAAGTGGCAAAAGTGAGTAGCCCTGTCTCATTCCTGATATTAGAGGCAAAGCTTTCAGTTTTTCACCATTGAGCATGATGTTAGCTGTTTAAGCAGTTTTTAAAAAGATCTTAAAAAGACGTGGGATTATGAAGTCCTGGGACCTACTTAAAATTGTGTTTCTCTGTGTTCTCGGTACCTAGCACAGTGCCTGGCACAAAGAAATTACCGAATAAATTGATTTAGAAAAAGATAGTTTCTCAAAACTGAATGAGCTAAGGGCTCTGAATGAAAGGTTGATTTAGGAATCATGAAAGTGCCAAGAACTGAAAGGAGATCATAAGGGTGATAAGGAGTCCTCAGTAATCCACTGACGTGGAGCACGTGTTGCTCCTGCAGTGTGGGCAGCAAAGCCACTTGGATCTTAGTAAACTTTGCTTGGATAGTCTGCTTTTTAGAGGAACCTCCCTGGTTAAGTTATTTTTTCCTCCTCTGTATTAGCACTTAATAGATGGAAGTTGTTAATGCTAATAGAGTGTGTACTATATGTCTCACTTTGGCACAGTTTTGAAATAATGTGAATGATTTAAAGGCCTTGAGCCTGTTTGCCTTCATTTTAATTTGGAATCGTTGGAAAGCATTGAGTCACCACCATTTCATTGGTAATGCTGTGTTCTCTCACTGGAACTTAGCCCTCTCAACTTGGAGCAGATAAAAATTCTGATTAACTATAGTCTTAGGACGGGAAAATTGGATGATTTTGTTTAATGTGTTGACATTTCTCTTCATTTGGACTTTTAACAAGCAGGTTCTAAAATATGAAATAACGTGTCCTCACTCTTTTCCCTTAAGGAGGGTCATCTGAGTTACGCATTTTAAAAATACGTTGTGTAAGTGCAGAACTTGTTGAGAGGCAGCAAGATGTAGTAGAAAGAGCAGGCCCTTTGGTCTCAGCGAGGGATTTTCTGGTTGCAAGTAATTGAAACCCTATAGTTTGTGCAAAGGAGATGCATTCTATGGGTATGAGGCTGCCTTACAGGATCCAAGGACAGAAGGGACAGCCGGGCTCAGAAGGGTCTGGGCCGAGGACCTAGAAGCCCTGGGAACTGAGGCCACTCAGTCTGTGTTGCCAGGGCCACATGGCCTCATCTCTGCTTTTCTCTCTGCACCTGCTCCTTTCTCCTCTCTCAGCAGACTGGCTGCCTCTGCTTCTCTCTCAGGCTGTGCACACGGCCAAGCACAGCTGCCGGGCTCTGGCTTTTGATCACTTCCAGTGCAAGGGCCAGCAGAGGCTGCCGGGCATCTCTGATTTCCATATTCCTGGAAGAGAGAACCTGGTTATCTCATCGTGAGTCAGAGGACCATTCCTGGTTTGTTCATTCATTCATTCAAAAAGTCTTTGTTGAATGCCAGGAACCGTTTTAGGCACTGGGGAATATATCCTGCCCTTGTGGACTGTGTGTGTGTATGTGTGTGTGTGTGTGTGTGTGTGTGTGTGTGTGTAAGAGACAGAGGAAGAGAGAGAAAGAGATAGAGATTGTGAAAGCTCGTTCTGGGGGGACTGGTTTGAATGTTGTGGTCTTCAGTTAAAGAGAAGTATGGTTTGGAATTCAGCCCTGCATTCAGTTCTTGACTTTTCCCATTTCCAGCTCTGTGCAGCCTTGGGCATGTTACATTACCCCTCTCAGCCCCAATTTTCTCATCAGTGAAATGCGCATCATGCTTTCTAGGATGGTTATGAGGATTCTAACAAAAGGGTGCCTCTACGGTCACTAGAACAGTGCCCGCCACGCAGAATCAGAACTCTGCCTCTCAGTGGTTGTGACCCTGAGACAGTTACTTAGCCTGTCTTAATCTGTTTCTTCCCCTGCAACATGGGAAAGAAGGTCAGCAACTTCACATGCTTATTATGAGCATTAAATCATGTGATGTGTGCCAGGCCGCTGGGAGTTTGTACAGAAGAGACCCTCGGTGCCGGAGCTGCGCTTCTTGTTCCCGTCATTCATCACATTTCCCCTCTTTCTTCTAGTTCCCATTTGGCCGACGCTTGCCTTGTGACATCTACTGGCATGGAGTTTCATTTCACGACAGTGACATATTCTCCGGTCTAGTGAACAAGTTTCCAGGTATCCACTGTTATTGTTGGCATTTAAAAACGTTTCCAGGGCTGAGCCTCGGGGTACGCTCTTCGACAAAAACATAACAGTGTTTTGACATCAAACTGGAGGGCTCTTAATTGGGAATGACTGCCTACACGCTGCCTCAGTGCCGTGACCTTGGGAGGCAAGGTGATCAGGACTTAACTCACCAAGGGTTTTAAGACTGGAGGTTCCAAAACGTAAAAAGGCAGGCTCTTCCGGTCTAATTCCACCGGCGGAAGAACATGACTTTCACCTTTTGGATTTCAGATATAATATGGGAGCGTCATGAGGGGACTATATTCTCAAAAGGCAAAAAAAAAAAAAAAAAAAATAGTCCATTTGCACTCACCATAGTTTCTGGAACGTTTCAATGACTCAGTGAACGTGGACTCTGAATCCGTCTACGTGTGTGGCTTGCCCAGGTAGACCGTGAGGTCCTGGGAGGGGCCGTGCCTCCTACACTTCTGGGTGTTCCCACGGCTCCTGCAGTCCTTCCAGGCACACCGAGGCCCTCCGTAACTGCTGTCTCACCTACTGATGGCGAATCGGAGGCAGCCCTGGTTTTATGCCCATTGGAGGGAAAGGAGAAAGCAGGACCTTAAAGCAATAAAATGAACCGTTTCCCCTACAGAGTTAGTCTAACGTTAATAAAAGCTGCATGTCGCACTAAAATAATAAACAAACAAAATAAAATAGACCGTTTCAATTTCTGTTTAATATGCAGGAGACGGAAAACAGAAGTACTAAAATTCTGGGACAGTATCACAGAAATGGGGTTCGCAGCTTCCATTTTCTTTAAGTATCCTGTTTGCAGGTACCATTTTAAAATCGACATACACCAGTCTCCATACTGGGAACAGGAGCTGCGAACTGCCTCTGCCTTTAACCTGAAGGCATTGTCTAGTGATACTATTGTCTAGTGAGACTGCAAGGGGGCCTCGGTGCCACCTGGGTGTCCCAGCCAACACTCTGAGATGCCCCTTCACTCCACTCCCAGCCTCCGCCCTATCATATACCTTTCCGTTTTACTATTAATCTCTACCACCCTCTTCTACCATGATTACTATTCATTATTTTGAATGGCTAAGTGAAGAGGCTGGTTAAATTAAGTGGGCATGTGTAGGGAGAAGGGGACATTTGGTTAATCTGGGTATGATCCCAGCCAAAGGGGTCCCACTTATTTTCAGAAGTTTTAACATAACGGGCACAAACCATATAGGATACAATAATATATAATTTTTAAAAAGCACACCACCATGAATCCCATCCCTCATTTAACAAAACCACGAGGTGAATATTTCTAGAATTTCTCCCAAACCTTAACCATGTTTATGTAACACTTTTACGTAGTTGCAGCCAGAGTGTAGTTGTTTTCTCTAGTTGTTTCATTTATGCTTATTTTTAAGAGGAGGATCAACTTATTCTTTTTTTTTGGAATTCCATGCCACGTCTTTAAGAAAATACCTCTCACAAAACCCAATAGCCATACGTTATACATTGGCAAGTTATGCCATGTCCACTAGCGGGTTTTTCAACTAAGCAAACAGACCACCATGGGCCACTTGGCTCAGCTTTACTTACAAGGATACAGGACAGGAAACACAGCTTGCCAGTCAGTCAGTGTCAGACATTTCTTCTCAGTGGCGTCATGGCAAGGGTTCCAGAGCTAGTCTTTGGCTCCATAAGTGAAAGCTCAGGTGCAAAGAGAGAAGATCCACATTGGTGGATGTGGGTCTACCTTGACTTAGAAACCCTGTAGGAGCCAATAGCTCACATAGCTCCTCCACAGCACAGCTTCCAGGGTCCCCACCAGGGTCATGCTAAGTTACAAGATTCACTACACTCAGGAAAGCCCGGAGCTGTGGCTCCCTACCAGGTATTTATGCAAGATGACAATAAGGGATCATTTTAACCATATGCTTTGTTGTCTAGTCACACAGCTAACTTTCTCCCTTTATTGGTTTCCTGGGGAACAGAGCTAGAAAATTAACCCAAGGTCAGATTGGTTCTTAGAGGAGAAAGTGTTTTGTCAGAGAATAAGGAGGACTCTTGCAGCCAGGGTCCTTGCACAGTTTAATGGGATAGCTATTATTTTCTCTGTCTTGCTGCTCATAAAAGATGACGTTTGATGCCACTAAAAGAACTTATTGGGATATTGGGAGAACATAATTTGGAAGAGAACAACTCTTTGAATATGGACAGAGTTCCCAAGACATGAATTATCAAATGAGGCTTCACTGACATGTTCCCTATTTGCTCACGCCTCATCTGGTGGCCGAGAGTAGGAAGGAAGGAGTCGCTATAGCTCTACATTTGGGACTCAAATAGAAATACAGAAAAAAATACACTCAAAGGGCTAGTTTCTTTAAAGGTGATATAAGAATATTCATTCTAAAGAAGCACATTTGCCCCATCTCATGTTCCATGTGCCAGTGATAGGTACGTACAATTTTCCACTTTACTAACAGCAATTAATTAGCTCCAATGACAAAGCAGGCCTGTAGGCAGTGGGCCAGGGCCGCTACACTCTGCCCTGTGAAAGACAACAATCCTTAGTGATGGGGTGATTCCAGAATGGTCTGTCCTTTGGCTCCAGTTGGTGTCCATGCTTATCTTCTGTCTGTGATGTATCCCATTATTCTGAAGATGCATTTTGTATGCATTGTGTATTACTTAGAGCAAGTTCTAGTGGACGTGCCAGGCAAGGATAAACACTTCACATGCTGAATAAACTGAAAACTTTTGGATACGCATATGGAAGTAATTTATTTTGTTCGTGTCAGCACGTTAGATTTTAGCCACTTTTCTATGGGCAATTTCCTTCAAGATATGTTATTATATCTTAACTGATGAATTAAGACTTTCACTAAAAATAATCTGATTTAGATATGTCTTTGCCTTAAGAAAGCCTAGAACCATCAATTCTCAGCTTTGCAAGCAACAGTTTTTTTGCTGAGTTTCCGGGCCTGAGATGTATGGCAACACGTGGCGGGTGGTGCCTGAGAGCCCACCCTGAGGAGGGGACTTTGTCAGAGGAGGAGGGGGCTCCAGGAAGGGATCTCTGGGGACAGCCATCTGCCAAGTACTGGTCTGGACTAGGGATACAACCACAAGGAGAAAAGCACGTAAAGAGATAAGTCAAATACAAAATAAGCGCCATGCCAGAGGGATGCTGTGCGAATTTGGAACAAGGGCACGTGACCTAACCCAGATTTGCTTGGTGGGGCAGGCAGGGCAAGGGATCCTGGAAAAGAGGATTGAATGTGAACTGAGCCTCCAGGGATGGATGGGCCTGTCCCCCTTGCAAATCAAGGGAGCAGATGGGGTGCAAAGGCATGGAAAGCTTTGCACGTTGCTCGTTCAGCAAAGGGCATGTGGCCCATGCTAGTTAGAAAGGGTCAAGTTTGATAGGGCGGTGGAGAGGTGAAAGGCGGGGCCCAAACTTCACCGGGAGCCACTGAGAAATTTCTAAGCTAGAGAGTGACGTGGCCCAGCCTGCAGTTTGGAAAGATCTGCCAGAGGGAATGCATTGGAGGCAGGGGTGCAGGTGGGGGGTTTGGGGTGGAAAGGCTGAGAGAGGAAACAGCTAAGAGGCCACTGCAGTATCCAGGATCTGAAAGTATCAATGTTTGCTTGTTGTTTGGTGGTTTTAATGTGTTTTTGCCAAGAATTATTGTTATAAATGATACTTGGATTGAATAGCACTCCCAGCATAGCTCAGATTGTGTGTTTGATTTGTTCTGTTTTGTCTTAAATTGGGCTAAGTAGGCCTGCGTGGGCAAGCCTGAGGATCAGACTCCTGTGTAACACCAATGGGCCGAGACCACCCGAGGCCCTGGGACTCCAGTGAGGCAGACAGAAGAACGCAGGCCCAGAAGCAGTGACAGGAGGCAAGCTCTTGGGTGAGAAGCTGCAGCCTGAGTTAGGGGCTTTCCCCAACTGACAGGGGAACGGCCACAATAGGGACATCTAGGAACAGACCTTCTTGAGAAGTGCAGGTAGACAGTCAGCCTCAAAAGAACCTGTTAGTGTAGCAGGAGCCCAGCCAGTGGGCTCAAGTCACACGAGGACTCCAGCCCTTGCAGGGGAGGCTTAGGGGTAACAGAGGAGGAACATTGGAGACTGCAGGGCAAAAGCATCGCTGAGGCAGCCACTCAGGCACCGGGAGCTAAGGACCGGTGACCAAACTTTGGGGACAGACAACAGAGCCTCAGAGAAGTAATTAAAATCCTCCTTATCTAACTGGACTACAAAGAAAGGGTCCAAGCTCCCCAAAGGGGAGCTAATGGTTGGACCTAGAGCTTCTACCTCAGGTCAGAATGGGTCCCAGAGCCTCGGGCAGGGGCCACAGGGAGGGGTCACAGGGAGGGGCCACAGGGAGGGGCCACAGGGAGGGGTCACAGGGAGGGGCCACAGGGAGGGGTCACAGGGAGGGGCCACAGGGAGAGGTCACGTGCTGCAGTTGCTTGGA